CCGCGGCGTCCCTATTGGCCGCCGCCGCCCTTCTCGCGAGACCTGCCCGCCACGCCTCGGCCCGCCCGCCCGGTGCTCCCATTGGCCGCAGCCGCCGGGACTTCCGCTTCTGGCCGGAAGCCCGGCCGGGGGGTGGGCCCCGCTTCCGCCGTGAGTGGGGCGCTGGGGGCTCGGCGTTCCCACCCGCAGTATTTAAAGCGGAATGGCGCCTGGCACTCCCAAGCGTCAAGCCCCCGGCCACGGAAACGTAGGCCCTTGTTGGCCCCGGACTCTGCCCGCTCTCCAGGCTGATTTGCGAAGCTGGCGCCTGCCCCGGGCTCCTTGGCGCCCCGGGACGGGGTTTGTCTGCAGGCGCACGGCTGACTTCGGGGGCTGATGGTTCTGTGTTGTGCGCTGCCCTGTGCGCGGTGGACGGCGAGCGGCACCCCTGGCCTCCGCCGTGCGCCGGGTGCCGGTTCCACGCCCGCTCGCCGGGCTGGCAGCCACGCTGTCGGCAGGCATTCCCAGTGGTCCCCACGAAGGACCGCTGTCCCAGAAGCCAGGCTCAGAGCCTGTGTCCTTGTCACACGGATGGCTTCCCGCTTCCCTTCAACCCTCAGGTGTCCACTCCCTGTAAGCGTTTCGCGACCGTCCCGTCTAAAGTGGGTCGCGCCCCCATCCCAGTGCCCTGTCGCAGTGTCTCCGTGGCACCTGCCGCGGGTTTTGTGTCTTCCTTCGCCCCTTTCCCCGGCGTGTACTGGTCCCCACAGGTCCGAGCTCCACAGGGGCAGGGTTCTAATGTGTCTTCTTCCTCACCGCGCCCAGAGCACCTGCAACAGTGACCGGCACGTGGGGGAGTGGAACAGTGTCCGTAAGAACTGGCCCGAGCGTGGCTTCCGACGTGGGACCCACGGCTGAATGATGGGACTAGCGCGGGACCGGTGCTTCTAACTTCCTCTGTCTTCAAGGCCAGCTGAGAGAAGCATGGAGCCGTTACCTGGGCAGTGGGCTTGCAGGTAGGTCACCTGGATAAGACGTCCTTCCTTGAAGTAGCATGTATTCACTTCTTTATGTTCCTAAGTGAGTGACCCCTAGACTGATGCCCCCAGCAGGCAGTAAATACTTAATATTTAAAGAGGGAATCATCGAACGCCAGTGTAGGACCTTCACACCCAGTCCATTGATGCCAGTCATCCCCAGCCCTTAGCTCAAATGTCACATTTCTGTTCCTCCCAGAACAGGGCGGATCCCTTTTCATATGTCATTAGGGTACCCTATTCGATTTCTTCACAACACCGTATTAATTAATGATTATGTATTTTGTGAAATGATTTAATATCTGTCTTCCAACCTGGGAGGGCTGTGATTTTGTTTGTCCGTTACTGTATTCCAAGAAACTAGCACAACCCCCGCCAACGATAAATACATGTGGGAATGAATGAGTGAATATTTGTTGATTTTTAAATGGTGCCAAAAGAGCATTTTATGTTCTTTTTTTTTTTTTTTTGAGACTCCCCTGATGTTCTAAAGTGTACGTTAGTATCCTAATTTAACTGAAGGGCAAGGCTCTTAAGATTTCTGTCCAGGATCACACACGTAGTAGGCAGTAGAGCTCAGTCTTAAATAAAGGGTTTTTACTCAATTCCTAGTACAATGCAGTGCATTTTCCACATTCTGGCTGGAACATGAGACAGATCCTCCAAGTATTTGTTAAAAGACTGACAAAACTGACACTCTCTGGCAAAGTGCAGAGTAAATATGGGGGTAAAAGTGAAGCCATTTGACTTGGTTCACGTGATGATTTAGTGTGAAGCTCCGTCTAATGCAGATGTGCCATCTTGGATGACGCAGACTAACTCAGTTGGATTATCTCAGCTGAGAAGTGTAGAGCTAAGTGAATAAAGTGGGTGTGGCAGTTACAGAGGTCAGGATGTACCCTGAGGCACTTTGAGCAGTTCCTGGTCCTGGGGAGGAAGCTGGGTGTACCCTGCAGTCTCTGACACCATGAAGTTGCAAAAACAGTCCAGCAGGAAGAAATGGTTTGGTTTGTTTGCAGGGTTTTGTAAAAACCACTCTGAGAATGTGACAGAGTATCCCTGGCCAGGTCTGGGCCTGAGCCTTAGGAAGGTCTCGCAGCTTCTCCTTTGGTGCCTTGGAAGCCCTGAACCACCATGGAAGAAGTTCAGGCACCTTGCCAGAGAGACCACGTGTCGAAGAAGAGTCTGCAGCTGTTGAGAGGAGGTCCCCATCATCCCAGCCGACCTGCCGGCCCAAGGAAACCACTCAAGGCACCCACAGCAAGACCAGCAGAAACTGCCCAGCTGAGCCTCAGCCCAGGTGGCAGAATTGTGAACAAATGAAATACTTGTTATTTTGAACCCCTAAGTTCAGGGCAGGATTGTGAGGAAGCATCGGATGATGAAAACACACCTGTCTTCTCCCATGGCCATAATCTGCTGACACCAGGTAGCAGTCACTGTCTGATGTGGGGCATACACTTTCCAGCTTACTTAAGGCCCGCTCACTCTCTGTTGTCTTATTTTCTTACCGCAGAGAATTCTTCTCTCTTCACACTGTCTGGCGCACTAGCCGGTAGCCACGTGTGGCAGTTTGAACTTAAATTACTACAAGTTTAATAAAATGAAAAGTTCTGTGCCTCAGTCACACCAGCCACATTTCAGGTGCCCAAGAGCCTCCTGCGACTGGTGGTTACCCCGGTGGACAGCGCAGTATAGATCACCCCACCTTTGCAGAAAGTTCCATCCGACAGCGCTGCCTTATACGAATGTGCAGTGTGCACCCTCCTGTGCTTCCAAACAGGATTCCATTCGGCTGTCTGCTCTCAATTTGTGCTGCCCCCCTCCCCCTTGCTCCCCACCAGCTACCCATGCAGCTCAGGAAAAGCTAACTTCATCTTTGTTTCTGGATCTGACTATTCAGAACCAATGCTGGTCTCTCCTGCCTCTTCACAGTGACTGGTGTGGAAACCCAGACTGTAACCATTCAAGACAGGACATTCCCCCAGGGCCCAGCAGAGCACAAATGACATGAATTGGCCCAGTCAGCCAAAAGAAAGGACTCTTGTTCCATGACTGTAACGGAGACACACTCTTCCAAACTGGGCATGAATTCGGGAGCCGGGAGCCCTCACTGCTGCTGGCAACTGCCTCACAATCATGAGCCGAGCCAGCTCAGGACGTGGATGGCACGTGGAGAATCAGGGAGAAGTCAGATAGTAAAGATCATAAAGCTTACACTGTTCAGGCTCCTGTGTTGGGTTTTCTGTTACTTGTAGCCCAAAGCCACCTGTCATGGCAAGCAGGAAAATAAAAGAATAAGAGAGGGCAGCCTGATTTTTTCCTCGCACTTGGTCCAGTTTGCTCGTAGAGTTTCTGCCTGGCCCATATAATCAGTGTGTTTTTAGCCCCTGTGCTAAGCCCCAACGATGATAGCGCTAAAGAGCTGATGTAAGTTGACTCTCACCACTTTATGGTGTAAACTTGGAATATGCCCCTGTTCCTGAAAGTAATCGTGGGAGTCTCTCCTTTGCACCTCAAATAAATAAGTACGTGACCTAACTCACACAGCTGGCATGTGGACAAAAGGTAACCTGGTCTTACAAAGTACAGTTTTGTGAGCAGTCCCTTCACCTCAAGGGCTCTCTGGGAAATAGGACCTTACTGCAAGGTCGCTTGTGGTGTGGACTGGAAGGCTCCGTTTGCTCTGATGCAGGACCTTTCCTTCTCCGTCACTACCCTGTCCCCTGTCCCTGCTCAGTGCAGAGCCCAGAGGAGATGCTATCTGATGGAGTGAATTCAGAAACCAGTGGGGACCGAGGACATTTCAGGGGCCGTCGACTTTTTCGTGGTGTTCCTGCTTCTCATGTCACATCTGCATGGCTCATCCTGTGCCACCGTATAGCTCTATCTGCTGGCTCATAGTTTCTGCTTTCTCAAAACGTGGGTCTACAGGTGGCCATCCTGGACGTCCTGTGCCTTCTGTACATCACTAACCAGCCCTCCTCCACCTGTCATCACTGCTCAGTGTCAGTACGCATGGCCGATGCTTCTGCTGTCCTGCTTCCCCAGTTGCATCCCAGGGACCACGACAGGCCCAGCACGTCTCTGCACCAGGCCACAGTGTGACGCATCAGCTGCATTGAAGTCAGGCCATCCGTCCATCTCTTGACTCTCCTCGGGTACAAAGTTGTTGTAAGTTCTGGTTGTTTATGGGAGTCCCTGTTGTCACAGTTCTGTCTGGCTGCAAAGCATGTAGGTAAAAGCAGAAAATATGAGAAGTAAAAACAGTCAACCTGTGGGATGGAGTCAGGCCTTATTTTCTTGAGCCCAAAACAAAGTCACACTAACCTGCTGTTGTGAGAATTAATTCAGCTTTCAGAATGACTTGTGTTTTATTTTTACAGGGCAGATGAGAGTGTGTGGCCAGGAAGATGGGTTTTGGTTTGACTTTTTTCAAACACTCGTTTTCTTCGACCCTTGTGAGCAGCAACCTCTACTTCTTGGGTTCCTTTTCTCCTGTGCTTTAAATCGCCATGAGACATCTGCAACAGGCAGGCATTAACCGACGGAAAGGGGGAGGGAGGAGAGAGAAAAGGAACTTCTGCTTCCTTCCTTTTGAAGAAGTGCAAGACATGGGGCTGCACCTGCCCATTCTCTTTCAATTCCCACTCTTACAGTTCCTTGTAAATATCTCCATTCCTATCGCTGTGGTAAAACAGCCAGCGGCCACAGCATGTTTGTGTTTTAGATTGGGCCTTACAGAAGAGGTCCGTGGAGATGAACACGAAGGACGAACACTGAAGCATGTGTGTGAAATGATTCAGCTTGTGGTTCTAAGGGCATGCCCAACACATGGAGAAAAGAAGGGATTATTCAGTGAATTCTGTTGGGGTGAGCGACTATACACAGGGGAAAAACAGGCTTCACATTTCAGACCAGCATAAATTCCAGCATAAATTTTCTATCAAAAGCATTACATGAAACTATTGGCAAACAGAAAATCTCAAGGCAGGGAACGCTTTCCTAAGCCTAACACCAAGGCCATAAGCCATTATAGAAAACATTAATTGTTTTGGGGTTACATAAAAACTTAAAACTTATTTGCATAAAAAAGGATAAGTGCAGTTGGCAGCAAACAAACTTTAAAAATACTTGAAATACGTATGACAAAGTTAATGTCTTTATTTTGTAAGTTCTTGGAATCTTACGGGATTTCTTGGGTAAATATCCAATATATAAAACCGGCAAAGTGAATGTTCGGGCGTCGTAGAAGAGAGCGGTCCTCTGGTGCTGCTCAGCATCTCTTCTGCTAGGGGCACCTCGCTTTTCAGCTCCTGGGGTGGTGCAGGCAGGACTGGCTGTCCCCTAGGCTAGCTGTGATCATGGTCATGTGATCTAAGCCCATCCAATGTCAGGATTCCATCTGTTGAGCTACAGTGATTGGCTCAAAGACGGACCCCATTTTGGTCTAATCAGAGCTGATCCCTTGACTTATTCTGGAGGACCAGGAATGAACTGTTCCTTCTGCTTGATTTGTAATTCTAAAGATAATAAGCCTAGAGTTGCCAGGGGCCATCTTGTAAAACTTAGGAATGAAACAACTCAGAAAAGAGTAGGGATGAAGAGAGAAAGACCTTGTTTGAAAAAGACATGTTCCAGGTCCAGGTTCTGCCTGTCACCTAAAGTAGCTTTTGTCCTGGACATTTCAGTTGTGAGCCCGTGACTTCCCTTTCTGATTAAACAATTGTGACTTTCAGTCCCTTGCGATTGGAAAAGTTCCAGCTAATAGAAGCAATACATACACATGCACACACACACACGGGAAGAAAATGCCCTTCAAGGGGAAAAAAAAAAGTCAAGTTACACCAGTAATTTAAAAATGCAGAAAGAGGGGACATGTCACTTGAGCTGAAAAACAGTCAGTGTTGGCAATTGTTGGGCAGTCAAGTGAGGGTACTCATAAATGGTCGATGGAGAGGTAAATTTGGTACAACGTTTCTAGAGGGCAGTTGACTTTATATCAAAACCACGTTTGCCTACACTCTGAATGTGTAGTACCGCTGCTAGGAATTTAAAAATGCATGCAGAGACGGAGCTGTAAAATGTTCATCACAGTGTTGCTTCAAATAGCAAAAAAAAAAAAAAAAGGAAGCAGCAAGGCACTGATTAAATTATAGTGCATGGGTACACTGGGATACTATGTAGTCATTCAAATGATGCAGGATTCTGAGGTGGAACACATTCAAGATCTACTGTGTTGGTTTTCTATTGTTACAAAACGAGTTACCACAACTCTGTGGCGGCTCAGGCAACGCCCGGGTCAGCTCACAGCTGTGGGAGCCACCGGCTGGGCATGCTGGCTGGTTCCCGGCTCGGGGCCTCGAGCGGAAGTGAAGGTGTGGGCTGGGCTGAGGTCTCATCTGGAGCTCTTTGCCTGGGATCGCGGCCGAATGTAGTCCTGTGAGGTGGGGAGGAGAGGCCCACTTCCTGCTGGCTCTCAGCTGGGGGCTGCTTGCAGCCCTGAGCCCATCCGCGCTCTGTGCACCTGGCCACCTTTGGCCCCAGTGCCAGCCGCAGAGACTCCAGAGCATCCCTCACACCGGCGTTTTGGAGACATCAGGAAATGCCCAGCGCCGTTCAGTGACTGCGTGAGACTCACCCTGTACGACCTCCCTATTCTAAGGGCGACTAATTTGGAAATTTAATCTACAGATTCTCTTCACCTCATCACCTGGATGGGCATTTGATTGAATAACTGGAAGAAGGCATAAATCAGGAGGCTGGAAATCTTAGGGCCTTGTTAGAACGTTGCCTGCCATGGGGCAACCCTGTCGGGACCCCTCTCCTGAGAGCTTTTTCTGTATCCTTGCTTAATAAACTTCTGTCGCTTTACTCACTAAAAAAGGGGGAGAAATTGCCTACCACGATTATTAAGTTTTAAAAAAAAGCAAATAACAACAAAAAACCCATATAAAGCATTTTTGCTTTTTGTAATGAAATAAACACAAAGCAAAGCAATACGAGTCGTCACCAACAACAGGGTGCTGTGTCCCTGGGTCTGTAGGGCGGGGCTGAAGGGACTGTAGAGTCTGTACGGTCCACACCACTTTGGGAGACGTGTACCTTCTCGAATCTCCCGTTTCTCCTGTAAAGTGCTGAGGACAATAGTACTTGCCACCTGGGGTTGGGGGGAGGACTGAGAGAGGGATACTGGAGAGTGCTCAGGGCCCTGCCAGCTGTGTGATTGGGCACCATGATTTGTTCATTGAGTCTGGAAAAACTTGAGACCAAAGTATTCATAGTGGTTATCTTAGGGCGGTGGGATTCTGTGTGATGTTACCTGGGTGTGTTAATCATATGTGAGTGTGTAATATAAATGAAAAAGGGGCGCCTGGGTGGCTCAGTCGGTTAAGTGTCCAACTCTGGATTTCGGTTCAGGTCATGATCTCAGGTCATGAGACAGACCCCTGCGTCAGGCTCTGCACTCAGTGGGGAGTTGCCTTGAGATTCTCTCTTTCTGCCCCTCCCACTGCTCACATGCTCACGCTCCCTCTCTCTCAAGTTAAATCTTAAAAAAAAAAATAGTAAATGAAAAGTTTAAAAGAATAAACACGGGTCAGTGCTTACAACAGGGTGTTGTTAGCAGCAGTTAACTTCTGATGCGCAGTGATGGGACCTCCGTCTCCCGCATCATGAGAACCGTGAAGCCCTAGAGCTGCAGCAGAGCTCTCAGACGTCCTGCCCCAGTTGGCAATGAGGAGAAGCTTTGGGATGAGCGTCCTTGCGCTGCAGAGCTAAGAACACAGTACGCCCCACCTTCAGCACAGCGATGGGAAGAAAGGCCCACTTTTTTGCCAAAAGCTCAAAGGGAAAATCGTTTAGTTCTGGTTGACTTCCCCATGTTCCTTAAGCAAGACTGGAAGAAACTAGTTACTTTAGACCAACAGCTTGCCTTTGTATTTGGTCACATTCAAGTGCTGTCCGTGAAAGACAGGAAGAGAGAGCATAACAGTTCTGCCTGCGCCTTCTGTATTTAGGAAGATCTCTCTCCCTCTCTGTCTCCCCCCCCCCACCCCCCGCTCACACACATACACACACATCCCATAGTTGTAGTTCTCAGTATGGTGGGGAAGAATGATCCTACAGAGATTGGAATCTGCTAGAAAAAGAGAAGGAGAGTGCCCCACTTGTTAATGTCATGAAGGAAAAAAAGAAAAAGAAAAAAAAGATGTGCTGATTTTTATCATGAGCCATTTCTAAAGTCAATATGCCCATGGTGCTCTCCCCTGAAATGCTATCACTTTTATACAGGGTAGATAATACACTTTCATTTTCCTTGGTGCCATGAACTAGAGAAATAGTCTGAGTGAACACTATGATGACAGAAAAAACAGATTTTGCTTTACATCTATTTTAAGACCCTTATATTAGAAGCATCTGGAGAAATCTTATGAGAGGCTTACAACCTTTTCTGTTCTAGCTGTGCCCCCCCCCAGTAATTATTTCTATATTATCCCATAATAACACATTTTTTGTCTTTGTACCCTTTTCTATTATCTACTTGGGAGAATCATAAAAGACTTCACCAAAATGAACTAATTAGCTATGATACTGTGTAGTCTTTCTCGTCTTATAAATGGGTAAGCTGAAGCAATGAATGAATAAAGTAATGGGCCCTCAAAGGCCTGTCAGAACCTCTTACCTTACAGGCGTATTTCAGAAAAATCCAGTAAAAGTGAATTTCAGCCTAGGAAATCCTATTGCAGCACTGACTTCCATTAAAAAAATCAGGAATGCATTATCATAGGAATAAAATTTCACAGTAGTGCACAGTCAGTGATTTCATTTAATTCAGCAAACATCTCCCAAGTGCCTTCTCCACCCACAACATGGTCCCAGGCAAGTGGAAGTTGGAGCATGAGTGCGCTCAGACCCCTGGAGACGAAGGGGCTGGCTGCTGATTGCTATGCAGACAGGGACCAGTATAGGGGAAGGGACAAAGAGCCATGGGGGTAGACGTGGGGAATAAATAGTCCCTTGTGCGGGAGTCAGGGCCTTCATACACACAGTCATTTTTGAAATGGGCCAGTTGGTGGGTCAAGTGGTTGCCCCGAAAAAGATATGTCCACATCCAGGTGCTTAGAACCCGTGTTCTCTCTTAGTGACCATTTGATGCAGGGCGACAGTGCGCCCAGCTAAGACTGTACTTCCCGGCTGCCGTGGGTGGGAGATGTGGTCCTGAACTCTAAGATCAAGGCCTCGGCCGTGTGACTCTCCAGGAGGAGCCCCGAAATGCACCATGTTGGGTACACCCTTCTGCCCACCCTCCCCGCAGCCTGGAGCCTGACTGATGGGCTGGGCTGCGGCCGTCATGCTGCACTTTGCGGCCCTGTTGAGAACAGAGGCTGGACCCTGGGATGCTGGACTTAGAAGCCTGGGTCCCTGGTGACGGAGGAGCCACGAAATACACTTGAGCTTCTTCACAGTCAGGTGGAGATCGTGAAGGAATTGCAGCGAGCCTCCACCACCGTGGTGCGCTGAAGAGCTCAGCTCCCCTGTGTCAGACTGAACCAGGCGGCTGGACTGGTGGGACTCCAAGGCCTGGGTGCTGGCCTGCAGAAGCCAGGACCGGGCGCTGTCAGTGCCTCAGGGTTTGGGTTCCGAAATTGAAACTCAGAACAACCAATCACAAGTAGCCAGCCAGGCTTTCAGCTGGAGCCAATTAACATACTTCCTTTGCTTCAGCATTTTCCCTGGGAAAGTCTCTCCTGGAGCTCCTGCCCCTCCCCCACCAGCCATTTCCAGTTCAGCGGTGCTCCATGGAGTCAACTTTGGCTCAAATAAACTGAAAAAAATCTTACTATGCCTCAGTTTATCTTTTAACACATCTAAAGGGGACAGACAGCTCCTTCTTAGATCTAGTGGATGGTGGAAATGGTTTAAGATCGCCGCATCTCTGATTTTTCAAGCCATTCCAGAGACCCTGGTCCTGATCCCCCTGGGGCAGAATGACCACCCTGGTGCCAGTGAGGCCGTCCATGGTTCCTGAGGGAGGGCATCTGCAGTCACCGCTGGTGCCAGTCCCCAAGGGAGCAGACCTACGGTCCACCCGTGATCTGGTTCCCCTGGGAGGGACCCGAGGAACCCCTGGGGCTGGTCCCGTGGGAGCGGTCCTTGTACAAATGGCCCCGCGAACCCCGGGGCCCCGGTCCCCGTGGGAGCGGCCTCGCGCTGCCCCCTCCCCCCGGCTTCCCGCGCGCCGGGAACCCAGTGCCAGAAGCGGCGAGCGCGGGCGCGGCCTCCGGA